CCCCCCCCCCCACCCACGGGGGAAGCTGAAGCCAAAGTTTAAGGGCTAATGATAAAATATTATAAAGCCTGCCATTTGAAATAATAAAAGAGCTCAAATAAAACGCATACTTATTCGCTTATTAGTAGATTTTATGATATGCTAAGAACTAAAGTCATCGTAGGAATGAGAAAAAAAATTGTTAGGACATCAAACACGTTGCTGCTGACGAATTAGAAGTAGGGTAAGCTAGTAACCTCGAAAATAGATGAACACATCATGGCGCCAATGAGAAAACCGAATTCCTAGCATATTCAACCACACAGTCCCACCCTAGTAGAGACACTACGGTCGCTTTATCTCATAGTCTGCACCTCTCAATGCTTCTTGATCCATCTTTTTCCACTTTAGGGTCAGTATGGTCCTTTCTTTCGCTGCGTATTTTCACTGAACACTTTGACATATCAGGATTAGAAAAGTTAATGTTTTTGGAATAAGCCTTACCTTCACCAAGAACACATGTAGGTTTTCCATCTTCTTGTCTACCAGGAACTTGAAGTTTCTGCCGGCTTTCAGGATGAGGTCGGCCATTGGCATCCACCAAGTAGGGTGGAGGTAAACGTGAAAATGGAACATTGGATGAGACATGGTACACTTCGTGTACCACATTCTTAGGATGAAGAATATAAATATCGGAGTGATTATTACGCTCAAATGTGACTGTATTCTGCACTGAATCCCAATTGAGAAAATTGTTCAAGCGAGCGCAATGCCTATTCACGTCGCGTACATCGGCGCGTTGCAACTCCCAATGGAAGAATTGCTCATCAATGGGAGGTGACTAACAAAAAAATCAATTAAAATGGGAAAAAAATGAGCTAGCGGCATAACATAACTCAATTTAAAATATGGTGCAAAGTAAAAACATATTCAGGTTAGAAAGGATGTCTGATAGCATCAATCGCATGGCCCTCCCCTGTGGAGAACTCGAAGGCTCTCACTTATCAAGACGCCAAGAGAGTCTTCGATTTGGTCGGCTCATCGAGGTTAAAAGCATCAAACGAAAACATGAATTGGCATCTCAAAGGCGTTCCAGCAAACTTGGTTGTACAAAGGCCTACTGTCACTTAGGCGCATTGATCAATTGGAAATTCTAATCTGCATATCAGTATTGACATCAGATTCAATACACACCCCTTATGCCAAAACAGCACAAGAAGGGGACCAACAATGAGAACTGTGGACAACTTGGAGGTTGGAAGTGAGATACAATCAACCACAATTTCTCATGGTACTTAAGAAAATGGAAAAGTCCATTGTGGCAAGGAACGACGTTTTCTCTTACCAATGTTGTCTTTAATGCTCCCTGAAACACCTTCGAGAGTTCATTATTACTTATTAAGACGATGGCATACTCAAACTACACTGTTTTCGAAACAGAAATGACAATTGTGATTTCTCCACGTCACAAATATTTTCTCAATGCCCTTGAATTCCATTTCGTTCCAATTAGACAAACCAACTTCGCAGGGCAACAACACTTGACAGATGATGAAAGCAAAGTAGGACAGACATACCTCACTTTCGGATTCATCGGTTTCAGAAGGCTTGAAAATCGAGATAACACCACCAGCGGAGCCTAGAATGAAGCCAATTCCATGGGCCATCGGTAGAGCAACACAACAGGTGATAGCTTGACTGGGTTTAGGCGCCCTGTTTATCACACGTAACATATCCTCGACATCAGCAACCTCCTCTTCAACCACATCTACAAAGTCACCTTCCTGAATTCGTGAGATGCCAAAAGAGGAGGCCAACTGTACGGGGGGCATTCGATAGGACATCAGAACTTGGACCTCCCAATCGGAATATCTCTTGAACAGACGCTGAACAATGAAGCGACCGTCGGCACCGCCTGTTGCGAATATCTCCGCGGAACAAGGAGAAACTGCAATACAGCTAACTTCTCCTTCGTGTTTCTTCAAAACATAATGAATAGAGCAAAGTTTTCTCTCCCATACAATCCGCAAACTAACTAACTTTCATCTAACCAATTACATAATAGATATATTCTTTGAACTGTCCTGAGTCTTGTTCAGCAAGAGTACCTTATCCTACACTTAGAAAATGAGGCGTCATGTTCTTGTTTCAATCTTTCTGATAACGTTAACATTAACCGTTTGGGAGTTTAGTAAACAGTCTCCCCTTAAAGGGAATCACGCGACATTGCCTATCATTGTGGTGTCTCAGCCAGACTTAATCGATGCGTTGTCAAAATCAGGGGTATCTAGCACACTACCCCAGTGGCGCACACGTCAATAGGAAAATTTAGCAATTTTCAACAAACCCTGATCTCTTAAGCAATTAACTTACATTACCACCTACTCGCCTAACAAAAGGCTCAATTCGGGAGAGATCCCATTCTAAGCTTACGAATCCCACGCCAATTGGTAGGAACAAATTCTTTCATACCTCGTTTCGGGGAAAAAGGAAGCGCACTCAAATTAATTAATTCTCACCTTCTTCTAAATTATAGTAATCAGTGCAATTAAGTTGCACCTAAACATTGAAAGCCACCAAGCACGTTGGAAGTGAGGGATTGGCAGAAGGATAAGCCAGCAAGCTTGCCATCTCAATCACTAACATGAGCTTCAAGTGAACCAATGGGATGCAATCAAGGGAATTTCTTTGCTGCACGAAACGAAAGTACCCCTTTAATGCCACTTTGACACAATTATTCTATAACAATGAAGGTAAAATCCCACGATAACTCGTGTCCAATGCCTTTAGTAGGTTGGTCATCGAGCACAAAACGTACTTCATAAACAAATGTGAGGCGACGGAGTGAATGTCAAAACGGGTGGGGGGAGGAATTCAACTCAACCTTAAACAAATTCACAGTTGACAAAAATTGCAGAGGAAAATGTGAACTTCACTAATAATCACTTCTTTCGTTAAACAAAATTAATCGGCATATCAGATCGTTTGGTGTTAATAACGAGCCAGGTCTGATTTTGCCTGTCTTGACATTTCCTCCCACGTTCATAATAAATAATAATCATGTTGAAGCCTGATTAAGTTAAAACGGCTATAGATCTGATGCTATGTTATCCTTCAGCCAATACTAGATTCTCGATATGAGTAAACTATCTACGTATGACACCACTCACACCCAACCACATCTAGAAAAGTGGGGTGTGCGATAGACTTACCACCACGTGGTGCACCCTGGGCAACGTATTCTCATAAGGCAAAAAACGTCTATTAACCGGCAGTTGACTTCTGACTTCAACCCGCCATCACCCCACAGTATGTCATATTCGACTACTTCCACTGTACACACCTCACCTTTGTTCTACCTTTGTGTCTGTCTCTTTTACCACTGTAAATCATTCTTCTGCTCCCCACCCCTCGACTTTCCGTTACTTTGATGTTCCTTCCCTCTGTGAAGCCCGAAGTCAGATAAAGGGCCAATGATAACTATCAAAACGCCTGCCATTTGAAAAAAAACATCTAGAAAAGTTTACAAAGGAATTCAGTAGCTCTCTAATGAATGCTTTTAACCATCGATGCATCAAACCTCCATGTTGACAGAATTGAAATGTGATGACCGCCACCAGCGGGTTAGCATATAATAAAAATATTATTGCTGAAGGCACTGACCCAAAAACACCTGTTACCACGTATTGCTCCGAAAAATGAGTCGGAAGACCGAAGATTTCCTGAATATTTTTTCCCTAAAAACTTCTTTTCCTGAACTGCTACAGAGCAAATAATACTTAGATTCGAACACTTAAGAAATACAGCTAATTATATTTGAAGACAAGGGGTGCGCGATAGACTTACCTCCACGTGGTGAACCCTGGGCAACGTATACTCTTACGACAAAAAAGTCTTTTAAACAACTTCTCACTTCAAGCTACCATGTCCTCATTGTGTCATATCCCACAACTAATTCCACAGTACTCACCTTTGTGTCTGTCTCTTTTACATCTCTAAATCTCTCTTCTGCTCCTCCTCTCGAATTTTGTGACTTCGATGTTCCTTCCCTCTGTGAAGCCCGAAGTAAACTAAAGGGCTAATGATAACTATCATAACGCCTGCCATTTGATATAAATAAATATTTGAATACAATGAGATAGGTGGGTACTAATTTCCGCCGGGGGTCATAAATTTTGGCCTATTGGTCTGGTGACTGGCAATTTTTATACCATAGGAGACCGAGTGGATAGTAAAATCTTGGATTTCATTAAATTTCGAGGATAATTAAAAAGCATGCTAAAAGCTAAACTTCCCGAAGTTAAAAAAAAGTATTTTAAGTAGTGCCCGTACCAACAACCCAATAAATTCAAAAGATCTTAAAAAATCCCCGTAATTAATACGAGCGCCTAAAGGTTTAAACTATATCGGAATGCACAAATTATAGACGAAAATATATTTGGCCACCTAAGATAGCAAGGACCGGAGTCCATCATTTGCCTACTATTACAGAACATATTCTCTCGATCTAAGGAAGTGAACTGATTAAACTCAAGGGACCAAATACTCCCATCCTTTCCCTCAAACCCATTTTCACTTAGTTACAGCTGAACAACCGGCAATACAAAAATTGAAAGATATACTACTGTTATATTATAAGCAAAGATACTTACACGAACACCAACGAGACGCTTGCGATTATGGGTAAAGATGAAAGTGCCACCAGAAGAAAGCCCCACAATAAGGTTGGCGTCATCATAACTCCAGGCCAACGCAGTGGGACGCTTCCCTGACCGACTTTCGAAATTTAGCGCTCCACCTCTCCAGAGATCACCTTCAAGCTCCCAGATCCAACAACCTCCGTCTGGTCTTGATGCAGCTGCAAGGTAATTTCCGGTATGGCCAAACGCCAAAATTGATGGTTTGGATTCCCCAGTGGAAAGACGACCATCAGTCACTGGGGAGCGTGTGCCGTCAAAGGAGAACAATCGAACAGTCATATCGGAACAACCGACAGCAATTCGACGGAAACCGGGACAAACATCGAAAGCCAGGAGTTTGCAATTTTTGCCCTCTTGATCAGTTAGATGGATGACATTAGTGTAAAGAAGATTAACGTCACAGCAGCCATTGACAAGATCATGATGATTAGAACACAAATTGTGTTCAAAGAAGATAAATCGAAGCCCCTTCTTCTCTGTAGCTATCACAACACAGCCTTCTTTCTTATGGGAGTTCTGCTTCATGAGATTGGGAATTAGAGCGAGACCAACGGGGGAACTATTAGATTCCTGGTTGCCTTGAAGAGATACAACTGGTTGACCGGTTCGTAAACACCAAATAACCAAGCTACAGGAATTATCAATTGAAGCAAGTAAATGATTGTCAATCGATATATTTGAGACAATAAAAGGCTTCGTATGACCCCAAAGGGAGTAACGAGCAACAGGATACTTTGAACCAAAATTCAGGGGATGAAGAGACCAAATTTTGATGATACCATTTGAAGATGACTAGATAAATAAACAATCGATGACGAAAATTCGAGATGGACTTACAGAGAAAAGGAAACTAAGCTTTCGGTCGTACTTCAGATTGAATACAGAGGCTTTGTGACCGAATACATGCATTTGAAGTTTTAATCTAGTATAGGCACTTATCACAGCGGCTTCCTGATATCCATGTAATACATACAGTGCATTGGGAGGAAAAGCACGCGTAAATCGCAAGTTGTTGCCGACAGCAAGCGAAAAACCCACTGAACTCACACCAGATCTCCTCTCTATAGAACACTTAAATAAACAATGACAACAGCTAACCAGAGCTAAGGATAAGATCCAAAAAGGAATGATCATGAGGAGAGGAATTCGCCAATGATGCCAAATGTCGCTTAAATTCACCGATGACTCGATTCAATGTTTCACCAGAAATCAATCCATAAAAATGATTCTACAAGAAATATGATGTTGAGATTAAACTTACGAATTTTTCGAAAAGATTGCTAAACTCAGGACAATTGTCACCAGCCTAAAACACCAAGTATAAATCTATAGAAAAATCTTACTGGAAGTGAACGTAGTTTGCGATCAATACCCTCGGATAAGCTATCGAGGTTTTTCCTTTTAAGATACAAAGAAACCAAAAATAAAAACTCATTAGAGTCTGAAGTTTGACAAACTGCCTCTGTAACAAGTTCGCCCATAACAAAATAAAGCACAAGAACATGCGACCTTGAAGTTTAGCAGTTACAAACCCCTCCTATTATAATTAATTGAAACATACCCATTAATCAAGACTATTCCAAGTCAGTCTCATTCAAATCATTTTTAAACATAACGTATTTATTATTTTTTAAAAATATTGATTTGTATTTATTTGACTCTTTATGGTTATTTCTGTCAAAAAAAACGTGAAATAAAATCAAGCTCACATATGGAGCATAATCATATTGAATCTTATATCAAGGATATTAATCGGAGTATGTTAGTTTTTATTGGTTCTATCTTTAATATTCTGTTTGCCTTTTGAGTTACTGTGAATGACAGAATGTTCTCGCGCACCTTATTTTAAAAATTTTAAGAGTTTTAAACGCCATTCAGAATGTTTGGACATGCTTCAGAAACTAGTTGATTTCAAACAAATAAAACTGATAAAAATAAATTCTCAAAATAGTAAAATGTGTATAAACCATTGGTTTCATTGTGTTCCCAACGCGTTTTTATTGATGTTGCCATAATTTCGACTTTCTGAGTTTGAATTTCGTTCCGAAAAAAAAAATGCGCTAATTGTAAAAAGCTCTGTGTTAATCTGAGTGTTTTGATCTTCAAATATTAACTGTCAACTGTTGCGTAAGACTAATTACGTTCAGAAAAATTATTTAAATCACATTAAAGTTAAAAGGTTCTCGATTCGGCGCGCTTTTTCTAAAAAATAAAAATTGAACTATTTCTCATTTTATTTCAAATTCAATTTTAGCATCCTTAAGATTAATGTGAAGGATTTTGGATTTTCGTATGGTCCATAAAAATTACTTACTTACAAGAACGGCCTACATTTAAAAGGTGAATGGATTTTCGATGCCAAAAAGTATGGGTATTTTATTTTCGACCTAACTGCTATATAATTTTACTCAGTGAATTTATCAGAAGCTGTTTTATTTTCACATAAATTTCAGAAGTAAAAGTATGTTTTAGTTGACCAGATCCTTTATATCTACTGATCATATGGATTTTATAAGCATTTTAAATTAATCTACTTTCTGGAGTAACCTAGAAAATTATTCTTAATGCATTTTTATCTTAGATCCATTTATTTTCTATTAAGCACGTGAACTTCTTCCTAGCCTAAATCTCCTATAGAACCCTACAAACCTATCATAAAAGCGTCTCTAATCAACATATCATTATGTTTACATCTTCGCATCGATCACTTGACTGTCATTTGGGGTGATTTCGTTTGAAAAAAGGCATTATCGGTTAGAAGGAAAAAATATAACAAATCTCTATTATTTATTGGAAAATATTCTTCCTTTTAGCAGACATCTTAACGAAATTTTATTAATTTGCATAAACCTATTTATTACATGAAATTTGCAACTGCCATTCGAACTTAATGTATAAACAGAAAAAAATGGGAAAAACATATGCGAAACTAATTCTCTCTCATTAGAGAAAGACTTGAGAAAATGATTTGAATATATTATTTAAACTCACGTCTTTTGTAAAGGTTAAATTAACCTCAAATATGCTTCTTGGTTTTATTGGATTACCTAGGAGTTTTCGATGCTACTGTTTGACGTGGGATTTTGGGTCGTCATGGCCACTAGATTAGCCTAGTTTGGGTTTATTTCTCTGCCGACACATTTACACGATAAGAAATGTTTGAGAAGACAGTTTGTCTTTTTGACGTTGATGGAACTCTCACTAAACCTAGACAGGTGTGCAGCGTTTTTTGATTTTCTTGTTTTTTAGTAATTGCGTTCATATTACTTCTCGTTTCTCATTTATGTATTATGGTATTTTAAGGTGATAAGTCCTGAAACGTACGATTTTCTCTGCGAACTCGACAAAAAGGTGGAAATCGGAATTGTGAGCGGATCTGATCTTAGTAAGATTATTGAGCAGATGGGTGGTCGTTCAGCTTTGCATAAATTCAAACACGTCTTTTCTGAAAATGGTCTCGTTGCTTATGAATACGATAAATTGATCAGCACCATGGTAATTTGAGAATGATTCTTTCGTAGGAATTGATACTAAGTCAGGTGCGATTAATTTTTCATTTTTTTTATAAGAGTATTGCTTCTCATCTTGGTGAGGATTCTTTGCAACGGGTAACCAACTTCGTTCTTCGCTATATCTCTGATTTAAAATTGCCAGTGAAGCGGGGTACTTTCGTGGAATTCCGCAACGGAATGCTTAACGTTAGTCCCATTGGTCGTTCGTGTTCACAGCCTGAACGTATTGCTTTCTTTGAATATGATAAAGTGAGTACATGCGTAAATTTTCTTCATACATTTTATTTGATTGTTTGCTGTGGTATTTTTATTAACTGCCCAGTTCCTAGTTATTTACAATCGAGATTTATTTACAATGACAGGCGTTTTGATAGTTACCATTAGCCCTTTAGCTGACTTCAGGCTTCACAGAGGGGAAGTTCACCAAAGTAGAATAAAGGCGATGGGTGGGGAACAGAAAAACATCAAAGGGACAAAAATTCGAGAGAGGGGACAGAATAATTATTTACAGGTGTAAAGGAGACAGACATAAAAGTAGAAAAAAGGTTAGATGAGTACTGTGGAAGGGGTTGAATATAACATGCAGTCGGGTCATGGTAGTTTGAAGTCAGAAGTCAATCGAGATAAATGCTGAAAATTCCCGTCCAACTTTCCCTTGAGTTTTTTTCGAAGCATTCACGCTTATTTTCATTTGAATGCATATGACTTTCTGTATCATAACTTGAATTGTACACAAGCTGTCTATTGAAACTAAGTAAATTTTTCTATGTAACTTTGATTTTAATTGTCATTGAGATGTGGAATTAAGAATTCATTTGTGTTGCGTCAATTATCGACTCTTAATAAGGCTTAACTTTGATGGGTTGTATTATGCTAAATTTACGTAAACTTTTTTCTTGCCGCTATTTCTGACGTTATATTAGAGTACATGTACTTACTACAACTTGCCACCTACGTAGCTTCTTGTAATGGAAGGTACCACTTCTCTACTTCATAAGCCTATTTATTTCTAAGATTCTACCCATACAACGTGCCTTTATGTTCCATTTTGGAAACCCTTTTCGATGGGAGGGTAGTCGAACTGTCTTTGAGGTTTAGTATCCTCAGTTTGAATCTCTTGTAGTAGATTCGAACAATTAACCACGTTAATTTACATGGTAAAGGTCGCATCCACCTGTCTTAATCACGGACACCTTTATTCAAGTTGAAATACACATCTCCGTGAGAAATTATATCGTTTACGAACTAATGTAAACGCTAACTTTGCGGATACAATGTCAAAAATTCAGACGGGTTATACCATTTTTTCCCAATCCGAAAAATATCTTGTAGTCTAGAAAGTAGCGGTGTCGAAAGGCTAATTATAGATCTAGTTCAGGATTTATCCTTTGTTGTTTATTTTTTGCTTGAAAGTCTAGTTTCTATCACTTATGGTCGCTGCAGTTGTCGCAGGCTCGGAAAGGCTAAATAAGCTGAAATTCAATTAATCTAAGGCAACTTATTGACTTAAAAAAGCCTTTGTATTTGAATGCAAATCATTTTCACTTCGTCAGCATTTGTAAATCGTAGCATCTGTTTGTCAACAATCTTTTTCCAACTCACTGGTGAATAGGAGATCCAAATTGATGAGAATGGAGTATGCGTAGAAGTGTCGTAGAAATTTGGAGCATTTAATTTCGTCACATTTGCATAGAAAACGGGGCATTTTAATTATTTTTTTTTGGATTCTTATTTCTGATTCATAATTTCTAAGATTCACAAAATTCGCGAACAAATGGTGGAAGTGCTTCGAAAGGAGTTCGCAGACTACGATCTGCAATTCTCCATCGGTGGTCAAATCAGTATAGACATATTTCCCAAGGGGTGGCATAAATGCTTCTGTCTCTCATTCCTTAAGGACTATGATACCATTCACTTTTTCGGCGATAAAACAATGGAGGTATGTATTCTATTCTGGTAAAATGTTCTTTGCATTTAAAGTTAGCGAAGAAATATTGGCTTTTATCAGTAGTTCACTTTTGCCATTTTGCGCCAAATTACAACCTTCCTAGGATCTCACCAGTTGCAATGTTACCAGTTATTGCTTCTAACTGGTTTGTTCACCTATAGCTGTAAAAGTTGAAATGGTCAAAATCTTTTCTTAGAGTCGCCTAACTACCACTTCTAACATATTTACGGATTGGAAATCTACGAAGGGTCCGACCACTCCTTATTGGTAATGGAAGGGACTATGGAAGCTTACGATTCGATGAGTTATAAGTGTCAATCTGAAAGCATGCTTAAGTGAGTGTAAACACAAGGACGGTTCGTGTAAGCGCAGTGGAAATGTGCGAGGGTGAAGGAGTCAGTGCAAGTGCACTTTTATACGGAACAGGAAAGTTCTAGAATAAAAGATAATCGATAAATCCGTTTAGACATGACCGATACGTGTTTGAATGCTACTAAGGAGTAATTTTGGAAATTGGTCCTCTTCAATGGTTTCTCAATCCCTTTTCCTGGTCATGAGGATGAGTGTCAAGCTAGTGACCTCTGCCTTTTCAACGTGCACGGTGATCGAACTTGTCAAAACATCGATGAGCTAATTTGATTTAAATAAAATATAACTTTTTTGTTTTTTTTCAACTCTGCATAGGGTGGAAATGACTACGAGATCTACAACGACCCACGAACTATCGGTCACACCGTGACAAGTCCAGAGGACACAGTAAAGCAACTCAAGGAACTTTTCTTCTCATAATTATGCTTTTCTAATGAATAAAAATATTCAATTTTATAACCCACATATGCTTTTTATTTGTAATTGATGAGTAATATAGTGAGCGAGCTAGCAGGTGCATTTAGCTATTTAGTGGGAGTGGAAGTATAGAGTGCGCGCAGTATCTTCTATCGTTTGAAATTTTGCTGATTGTCTAGCACCAGGGATTGCTCACGGGATAATTATTAAGAATTTAAGGGGTGTTTTTTAGAATCTACTGCTATCAAGATTCCGCTATTAGAAATCAATCTATGTAGGGGAAGCGTCTTGATAAAGTAGATAAATGAAGGAAGCGTAAATAAGAAATTTGAATAACGAGTGTTTTTTCTTCCGAATGGTTAAGAAAAGCTGCCACCAGGAAGTTTTTCTGCTTTTAAGTTTGACGAATTTGAATTTTTACTTGAGCTGAAATTGTCGACCTTTAATTAGCTAATTTAATCACAAATATAATAGTCTCCCTGATGCGGAACTTAAATTCTACCAATTCATTTTTTAACCAAACTCAGACAGTACGCTTGGCAAATCTAAACACTGGTTTTTCAGTAAAGAACATTATCAGCAGGGTCTGTAGCGTAGTAAAGCTCTAACAGGAAGGTTAATTAATGACAAAGCAGTCACGAAGGGCTGGGTGGATCGACAGTTAAAGAGTTGGGTGAGTACGGTACGTCAGAGGAAAAGAACAATAATTTGTTGTGAGCATAAATGGTTAAATCAACTCCATGCTACCCGTACTATATATACTACTATAGTATAGTATATATACTATGTATATACTATATCTATGCCATCGAAGTAGCTCAAAATTCTGAAGGCTTCTTTATACTAGAATGGTTTTTCATAGGAATTATAGAGGATAAATCAAGGCCAATTTGTGTGGAAATCGACAACACATCAACTATTAATTTTGTAGCACAATACTATGACAAATTGCTTACTCCTAAATATATTCATTGAATCTTTGCATTATCTAATTAAACTTCAGTACTTGAAAAATGGTGAATTAACTGGTAAATGATATAAATTTGTTTAAGTTTGCAATCGGATTTGGAATTCTCAAACCATTAGGCTAAAGTGGAACATGAAGACGCCCATAATGTCTGCGTCAATCAACCTTGAAATTTGAGAAATAAAATTAAGCAGTCATTGTAGTTTATAGTATTGCTTGTTAATAGGATTCAAAGAAACACAAATTTTTAATAGCAATTTTTGGTTAAAATCACAGAGGAATTAATTAATAATATGACTTGTAAAATTTCCCGGCTTCGTTGTCGAGTCTTCTCTGATTTGTTCCGCGTTAGCCTACTTGTTCATTGAAGGTACGTTATGTTGGACTGGATACCTCGTTATCCAAATTTTTCTTTCCGTAATACATGTTAATGATGAATTCGTACCAAACATCATATTTCAAAGTTTAATATACTTAGAAAATTTTCAAAGTAAACATCTAGAAAAAATGTCAAAAATCATCGTAGACGTAGACCCATGAACTTTCCACTATGGTGAGTAAGGGTGCGCAAATAAAACGAATTTTGTTTTGAGTTGAAGTAGTTCGAAAGTTTTTAATATGTCTCCTTGCCTTGTAGACAAGATGGGCGATTCCGACGATGATTTACGCAGGTCTAGGGATAAGTTTCATCGCGAACGTAGTGATGCTGATAATCGGCGAGAAAAACGGGAGCCGTTTGATGATCGCGCTGGTTACTATGGTGCTTCTCGTTCAAGGAATGATCGGCGTTCTTCGTTTACTAATAATCGGGATAAGTCTTTTGGCGACCAACCATCATCGAAGAGACCTCGCCGTGAACATAACGACGACAATCGAACTCCTCTTCGACCTCGAGATGCAAGGTCGGATCCAATGGACGATGAGTCAATTTATCGACCTCCATTGAAGCCTTTTAAGCGCTTTCTCGAACCGTTAGACGACTTTATTACTGATGTGGAAGCCGTAGCTAAATACAACGAATATAAGAAGGGCTTTAATAAACAGCATATTGAGAAATTCTTCGAGGCCCATAAAGATGAGGAATGGTTCGTTTAACTTTTCTATTTCAAAATTCGGCTCTCTTTCGTGGATCTAAGATGAATACATCTCTTTACAGGCTTCGAGAAAAGTATCATCCTGATTTTGTTGATGAAACACTGGAAATGATCTCCAAAACTATTCGTCATCGACTTGACATTTTCCTTGATCTTTTTGACAAGGGTATGATAGATAATCAACCGGTTGATTTGGAAAATGCCAAGAATTTAAAGAAACTCATGGATGCAGTTGTGGTCAAGTTGAATGGAGGCAACGATGACGATTTGAAACAGCTGGAAAAGTTAGAGGAAGCAAATGGAAATGTTCATGGGGGTGCTGCGAAGGTAACTTTTGACAAAATTTAAAAAGTTCATTTTTATCAATTGCTATTTCAGTATTGAGGTAGTAGGGCTTAAAAATTAGCTTCCATTTTCATTAAGATTTTGCTTTTAATTTTACAATCAAACATTGTATTTTATCTGTGCTTAATAGTTTACTGTTTTTGAGAGATAATTTTTAACAAGTTTTGCATTGGCTTGACTCTGTAATTAAATTCTGGATGGCACTATTTGTTGTTAACTATTTCCACTAGTGTTGATTTGTAAAGAGACGAGGCTAATTGTTATATGTAGTTTCATGATCTTATTAACCTCCCAAAATAGCGTAATCATCCGTATGTAATAATAATCAAGTTATAAACACTTGACAGTAGAAAATATGCATGAGTTTTGCGGAGACAGGAGTACTAGTTAATTGGATAGGATAGGCACGGTGACAAATCGTATTTTACTTCTACCTCGAAGTTCGTCACTTTTACTCTATCCTACTATTTCCCACAGTTTCATGCCACCGTTCCATTTTTAAGCATCTGGGGTGAGACAGGCATAAATGGTGTATGGATAAATTTCTAAATGAGCTTCAGGAACAATTACTGTAGATGTGTTGCGAACATCCGGAGAAATTTCGAACTTAATTTTTTCACAAAGTAGCTCAATTTCTTTTGGAAACGTCTCAAAATTTTTGAATGATCCACTGTTTACTTTGAGTCCAAATATCTATTTTTTCAGCCTTGTAAGTGACTAATTAGTATTCTCCATTCCCACACTGATTACCAGTTTGGAGGGTCTCCTGTTTGTTCAATTAGATGCCTTTTTCGTCATAAGTGGTTTAGAAGAACTTTAACTTGTGTGCACTCTTCGAACACTCTTCAGATAGGCCTCGAGAGGCTGTTTTTCTGCCCAGGGGTCGAAGAATTTGACTAATTTGGTAAGAATGTAAGTTGCTTAAGAGAGAGAGATTTGCGACTAATTAATCAATCTCAATAAAAATTAGAATATAAAGATATCCCACATGACTTTGAATAACTAGTTAAAACATTCTTCGTCATTTTAATTTATTCACTATAAATAGCATTTGCCGCATTTCAGCGACCTCGATTGGATAGTGGTCCACGAAGTGAGGGCGAGGAGTCCGATTACAATTCAACTATGGAAGGTGACTTCTCCTTCCAAGAGTCATCGAAGTCCAAGGCGAAGTCTAAGACCCCCGAATATGCCGAATGGACTGGAATTAGTAGTGATAGCGAGGGGAGTGGTGATGAAGGTGAGGAAAAATCGGTCAAAAAGGGTGAAAATCAGCCAGAAGAGGAAGAAGACTATGGAGGAGACGCCAAGGAAGATGGAGAGGAGCAATCTGGCATGTTGCATTTCTTGTGACGATGCTGTTATAATGATATCGTTGTGATATGGATTTTTTTCCCATGTTAGCGGGTATTTACTTTGAAGTTGGACCATTCGGTGCCAAGTTTTTGGGTAGTGTTCAATCAGAAGAAATTATTGGCCCTTGGTTTTTAGTGTTATTTAAAATTAGCTGAATAGTGCTAAAACATTGGCTTGAAAATCAACAGATAACTCTACTTTATCATACTTTAATCCAAAAGTAACCTAGCATAAGCACTTGATAAGTGGATTTAATAATGGTAATAACTTATACCTTAAATAACAAATGACTGTCGAATCTTAATAGTTTTTTGCTTAGCTTTAACAGGTCATATTACGTAGCTTCGGAAATAGATAACTTTCGTTATCTTGCTCTAAATTGTTTTTTTTGTTTATGCAGCCTCTAAGGAAGAAGAATCTTCTGCTCTAAGGAAACCTGCTTCCCCTCAGAAAGATAATACTGAAGCTTCTGTTGGCATTGATTCCCTAACTGACGAGAAACAAATTGAATCAGAACAAAAGGAATTGCAAGGAGAGGCCTCGGTTAAGAAATGCACCATCGACTTTCGCAAAAACGCCTCCATCTTTTTCCCCTTTGTCCCTCCCAACATAACTCGAAAGGAGTTGGAGGAACTCTGCTCCGCCCAACCCGGTTTTCTGCGTCTCGCAATCGCTGATCCATTGCCAGAGCGTCGTTTTCTTCGTCGTGCTTGGGCCACCTACAACGGGGAAATGGATATTAAGAAAATTTGCTGGGCCATCAACACCAATCCCCTGTTGCGTGAAAAGAGCAAACAGAGTACTGAGGAGGATTTTTCCGCCACCGTAAATCGGGAGTTGACTCAACGTATCCGTGTGGTGAATGGCATGCTTACGAGATATAAACCCGTCATGCAGAATGACTTGCGAATTGCTTCACGTCTTGTGGCACAGTTGGATAGCAAGCATAGTCTGTGGTCGCTACCCGAGGAGGATGCAAATGCCGTAACTAATGCTTGTCCTGTTCCCGGTTTCCCTGGTGTTTTATCGGCCAATCCTCTTATGCGCAACTTGAGTGAATTTCTGGAGGAGGAGAAACCGGCTTCTATGGGTACATTTTGGTCTTCTAACTTGTAATTGTGTCTCTACGTCTCATCTCCAATAGATTAGTTTTGCTAGTTTGAGGACTAATGATAAATATCTTTCGATTTTGTTGATTCTCCTATTCTCTTTGTTTAGATAATATGAACAATGATGTGGAAGGTGAGAAGGCAAAGTCGCACGTTCCCTTGGAAACGGACTATTGTCTTTTACGGGCACTTGATCGGCTTATAATCTACCTTCGCATTGTCTACTCCATCGATTTCTATGCGGCTACGCTCTACAGTTTGGAAGACATGATGCCTCACCAGTGTGGCATATTCCATGTCCGTGACAGCATCGAAGGTCGCAACCAAACCATCTTCCAGTATGAAGCTAACGATTATATTTCTGTAAGTGGTGCTTGTTTTGTTAGCTGTTTTGTGTGGTCAAATGCGTTGTCATATGTAGTCTATTAGATTGGATGGGGGTGCAAGGAGTGGATTATTTTGGAGTTCAAAAGTGTTGTTGAGTAGAAAATCGCAATATAAGTCTCGCATTCACTTTTTGCTTCAAAATGAGCTCACTTGCAGTCGACCACATAAGTCTGAAACTGTGGTGAGTCCTAATTGACATTGATTCCCACGCACACTTATATACTAGTAGAGTTCAATGGTACGAGCAATCTCCCACCAAGTAATCATGTATCTGGAACACCACATTTTGTGGTAGTAGAAAGTAAATATTGCCTTAGCCCTCGGACCTTGATTTGGCCTTTGCAAGCGTCTTATTCAGGCAATTTATGTAATTTTTGCGGCATGTAATGTCAATGGCGATGTGCGATAGACTTACCTCCACGTGGTGCACTTTGGGCAACGTATACTCATACGTCAAAAGTGTCTATCAATCGGTAGTTGACTTCTGACTTCAAACTACCATCACCCCACTGTGTCATATTCGACTACTTTCACAGTACTCACCTCATCTTTGAAACACTCTTCTGTTCCCCCCTCCCTCTCTCGACTATTTTTCACTTTGATGTTCTTTCCTCTCCGTGTAGCCTGAAGTCAACTAAAGGGCTTATGATAACTATCAAAACGCCTTCCATTTGGTATGAATAAATGTCAATGCATGCATAACACGAATATGTTAATTTAGATAAATCTCATTTATGTTGGCTAAGGATTGTAAATTGAAAACTTCAACTTCAAGCGGGAAAATATTTTATTTTAGGTTATTATCATCTATTAATCTCGATGACTTTTTGACTTGAAGAAGGCATAGTTCGCATGGACCAGAGTTTATAAGGTTGTTGTTTAGGATAAGGCTTATAGTGCTCAATACTTCCTATCTTCCTTGAGTATCTTTGTTATGGGTATAGGTTTTAATAGAACTCGACCCGTTCAATTTTTTTTCTACATTTCATAGCCTATTCTATCTGTAGTTTTGTAAATCTCTTTTCCACAGAACTTCAGTGAGAAGATGGAGAAGATGTTGGATATGCCGAAAGATTTGACTGAATCCGAAATGGCAGAGCTTGGAGCCCGCGATCCCGAAAAGGCAGCCGAAGATTTCATCGAAGCCAACACCCAAAAGCGTACTAGCAAAAAGAACGCCTCCAAGGTGGTTTGGGTCTGTCCCCTCTCGGACAAGAAATTCCGTGAACCCATCTTTGTCCGCAAACACATTCTCAATAAATATATGGACAAAGTGGAGGCCGCGAAGAAAGATAACGTAAGAATTTCATTGCGTTTTTCTTGGTAGGGCAATAAGAGGTAATACCTAAGTAAATTGAGATGGGATGTCATCTTATAACCTGCTAGCTAAGGTGTAGGCATTTGAAAATATCATGAAAATTTGGATTGATAAGGAAGAGCCGGAGAATGAACCCGAGGCTCTTCTTGAATCACTGGTGACCGCTGTTAACTGAGAGTTCGCAAATATCAAGGAGCTAGTCACAAGAGTTGGTATTTTCGAAGCCCCGTTTCAGCTGCTTTGTTATTAAAGCCCCTATTCACCTAATGTTGGGAAGCGAATGTGTGTCAAATGATTTTAAAGGAAGAGGAATCCAATAAACCATCGAAAAATATAACCTCTATTCAAGGGTACCGTAGGCCATAAAATGCGTTGGCAATCCATACGGACGCACTTGTTCGTACGCTGAGTATTGACCAATCAAGCTCAAACATGAGAATAATGCCCACTGTGTAGTGTGTTTCCTCTCATCTCTGTTCTCTTTATATGGCATCTTGGTTCTTCTTACTGTCATCTTTAATGCTGGTTGTTGATTGATAAAAACTTAGACTTCTCTCACCGGGGTAGATAGGTTGCTGAGGTGTAAATCAGCGTCATAAGGTAATGCCAGTAAATGGCTAAAGCGCATGTATAAGCAATAGTTTGGATCTCTATCAGCTATATGTGTAAAGAATGGGGGGGGGGGGGGCAAATTGTAATTACCTTGCTTCCTCACCTTTTTCCATCTCGTATTATCTCGTCACACGAACGTTGCTTCATGTTAAGCAGTTGTTGCTGAAGGCAATTAACATAACTATTCTTCTTCTAATGATCATTTTTATCGCCTGTGTTTTTTTATTGCAGGCTCTTTTCTTCAACAACTATCTACGAGATCCGAAGCGTCCAAGCTTGCCAGAGGCACCAAAACACCTTATAAACCGATATTATCCTCCTACTGTGCCCACTACGGTAGATACATCTGGCGGTCGAGGAAGAAGCTTCTATCGTAGTGGTGGTTTTCGTGGTGGGTTCAAATCAAACTCCGGACAATTTGGAAGACGCGTAAGAACTAATTGATTCCTGTACTCATACATTTTTTTGTTTGTTTGTCCATACGAAAGTCTTAGAGAGTAAAAAGGCCAGTCAGGCTGCGTTTCCTTGGTGCTGTTTCTGATTGAATCCCTGTCTTGATCGAAGTCGCTTATTGTCGGAGTGTGAGCAAAATAGATAATTGTGTAACAACCTCTATCGTGAACTTGTTTTTTCGATAAATCAGAAATGTTATTATAGTTAAGAAGGAATGTGCCATCACAACTATAGTTCACCAGGTCAAAATGTATTGGGCCTAAAAATTTTTTTATTCAAATATTTGCAGTTAAGTATGTTCGTAGTTGGTGGACTTCTGTAAACAATTTTGTGATTGGGCTCATAAAATTTAAGCTGATCTCACCTATTGGCTCTACTGCAATGTTATAGGTAGCCCATTGTTGTGAGTTGAATTTATTGCTGCTTACTGCTATCTGGGACGTCCATAGAGATGAGTGTTAATTAGTTAGTTAGTGTGAAATATAACCGATTCCAGAGCATCTCCATCCCGCAGTCGTTAACCCAAACACGCGGACTGGATTAGTTGGTAATCTAGCATGCTGATATATATGCTTGTCTTCAGTTCTGCTTGTCGAATATTGACGATTTTGGCCGCTTCCACTCACCTTATTGGTCCATCCTTCATTCTCTCAAAGATCGCTATGCTCTTTCACTTCATTTTGCCTTGTTTTTCTATATGGTGTTTCTTAATAAGGACACTTTCTACAACATCTTATTGGTGATCACGAAAATGGACCTTTGTTTTATGAAATCTGCCAAAAGATAATAATAGACAGTTCATTACTTGAAGGGAAATATTTGTGACATTCTCTGTGCCCCTACCTTTAAGATGGACCAAAATTCTTTAGAAAAACTTTGTAGTGTTTACTTTGTCCTTCCCATAGCTCTACTCTAATCGAATTATTGCGTCTCATTTCCCCTGTTTCACACGGTCCGAATTTTCCTTGTCTCCTCTTTCCAGACACTTCATTCTCCGCCTCTTTCCACTTTTACTTAATTCAAACTCTCCAACATCTATATTTGTCTGACCCAGCTCTCCGTCTTCCCACCCGAGAGGTGTTCTTTTATCTCCTTGTGTTGGTTATTCATTAGTTTAATTTGCGCCAAAATTATTTTCCCCTCGGTTAATCATTTCGTCAGTAGTTTTCGACAACCCTCTTTCATGAAATTAGAATCCACCATAAATGATTGTACCAATAGCACTTGTCCAATGTTCTTGTCTGTTAAATCAGAGGTCAAGAAATCAATGCTCATTAGTGTGAATCATCAACTTTTCCCGGGTTAAGTGAATGGGTAAAGCTAAGGTTTCTGAAGATGCACTTCTTAATATTCTCCCTCTAACCGAATCAAGTTTTGTGAACACTTCTTCTAATTGGTTTGAGAATTTTTTTGTAAGCAGTAGCATAAGTGTAATTTCTTTTTCCCTTAATTAGGAATTCCACGGAAGCGATGGCAGTTTCTTCAGCTCAAGTCCAAGAGGAGGTCCGGTAGGATTCAAATCTCCACTGAGTGGCCGCAAAAGACCCTATCCCGACGAACCGTAAGTAGTCCTCGCCTTACCAATCCTTTCCTCATTCGGTTGGACCTTAGTTCACGTCTCTTTCCTTGTATTTCAGTCCAAGATCTGGTGGTCGCACTGTAGTTTCATACAATGATTTGGACGATCCGGCGAATGGGAGCTTCTAGAATTCTTCTGGTGTATATTATTCTAATATCAAACTTTTCCACTCCTTGGGCTCTAATATTAGTGCTTAATCTCGTGTTTTCTTGCTTGCGCATTTGCCTATCGATTGTTATAAATTTTAATAAAACAATGGTGTTAAGTATACAAATATTATTAAAGTTGTCCTCATTTTGAGTTCATTCTGGTTGAATGTCTGTTCGCTCTATAACCTATCATTTAAATTTGCACTAATTCACGCCATTGAGCTTGCTTTAGGCTTATGATGTTAGTGGTTTTCCTAATCAGTGGCCAAATAGCTAATTTTGACTAACAGTGAATCGAACATGGGGGTGCAGGAGAAGCTGATAGAATTTATTCATATCAAATGGCAGGCGTTTCGCTAGTTATCATTAGCCCTTCAGTTGACTTCAGGCTCCACAGAGGGGGAGGAACATCAAAGTGAAAAAGTCGAGAGGTGCAAAGTCGAGAGGGGGGAACAGAAGAGTGTTTTAAAGATGTAAAAGTGACAGACAGACGCAAAGGCAGAGATAAGGTAAAACGAGTACTGTGAAAGTGGTGGAATATGACATACAGTGGGGTCATGGTAGTTTGAAGTCACAAGTCAACTGCCGGTTAATAGACCTTTTTGTCCTATGATCATAGGTTCCCCAGGGAGCCCCACGTGGAAGTAAGCCTATCGCACACACCGACGCTGATAGAATTATGACGATTCCCATTTCGGCGTATTTGGAGCTATGAAAAAGCTCAGGAGAGGGCACATCTGGTCTCGCTCACAAAGGTAGATAAGAGTGCCTCACTTAAGTCATACTCTAGTCTTGAAGTCTCAAATGTAGCTTTTCATAAGCTTCGATACTGATGTTCGAATACCACATCCGATATCAACATATTCGAATGAAATCGATTTCAAATTACTATAAATTTATATAAAATAGAAAGAGCCTATATGGGAAAAACGGAAATCAGAAAGCAACCCAATTGGTGATAGACAAATTTGGGTTTATTTAAAAATTTCTTTCAGAGTCATACGTTAGATGGCATATGCTAAGTGCTTAGTCGACCTGACTAAGGCAGTTTGAACCATTTCAAACCTTTCAATCTTTCAGCTTATTTTAGAGAAAATAAGGGGATTCTTTCTTTTCACATTCAAGCCAGTGCGATCATGAGTGCGGGATAATTGGCGAGTACTAGTCATTTAACGAGATGTTTAACGTAACCATTATTTAAAGTTGCTGGTTGCACTTGTCAGCAGCTTGTTGGAAAGCCAAGAGAATACTTAAGCTATTGCAGACGAGTTAAATGGGTAGTGTGCTCTACAAATTGATTGATTTTATGAGCAACACAGATCATTTAGAAAGTTTGATATGTAATATGAACTTTATATTCGAAAAAATAATCCTCTGTTTAAATATTTTATGTAGTATTACTAGAAGGATCTTAGGAGCTTCATGTATAATCAAAAAATGAGTATATTATTTTAACATAAGTTAAGAAAGTTTGACATTGGAGGTACAATTTTAATTTTTACAACACCTTTTGTTAAATGCAAGATATAGATTTACAAAGTATTTTATGTGCAGAAAATTGAAAACGATTTAATCACGTTTAATTGCACTTTTAATATCGCAATCTGAGGGCTAAATTTTACCTAATTCATATGAGAATTAGTATTGCACGACATTTTATATATTTTATCAAAAATAAGAATATACGGTACTTACAGAAAGGAGAATAATTTTATCTAAATAAAAATGAGCAAAAATCTTAGTAAATGACGTAGAATGATAAATAATATCTATTTGTTAAAAGCCACCACAGTACAAAATTGCGAAAAGTCCGCCAATTGTAAACATGACTGGTGGGGGTCAGAGTAAGTTAGCGGTGTTTGTTTTTATTTGTTTGATTTTCAATAATTTTTATAATTTTCTTTATTCCTAGAAAAGGCTCGGAAATCGGTAAGAATTTAGTGCTTTAATAGATTGCGATGCTATTCTTAGGCGCTGAAATTGCCCAGCTGTTCTGCAGAGGTATGAAAGATTTTGTGGTTAATTTCGCATTATAGAAAGATAGTGCTCCTCCTCCAAAACGAGTTTCTTTTTCAAAAAGAATCGAAATACAGTAATTCTTGGTTTTTGTTTTTACTGTTGTGATTTTTCTAGGGAATTCGGAAACCTTACTAATGAATGCTATAGGTATTTACAATTTTATTAAAAATAATGCTCACTTAAGTGCCATTCAATCTTCAACCTCGTGTTCCTCCACGTCAAGAGGTCACAACGTTAGTCAGTTTTCACAACCGATTTTGTAGGTCTTTTTTCGATTATAATTCCTTCTTAGGCCGATTACGTCCTCATATCCAGTAGATGACAGCGTCAATATGGATGAATCGTTTACTCAAAATGCCCCAGGACCTATTTGCATCTCTCCTAATATAAGCTCTTCTGGTTCTGACATGGACGTCTCGATGAATGTCACTTATGATGAACACGTTATTTCTCCCGATCATACACCCCAAGAACGACGAAAGCCCCAAGCTACTTACTTCCCCTCTAACAAAACTGTTGATGTATCCATGGGCACCTCTAGCGAAATATCTGCTAATATGGAAGAATGCTCTATAGTTTCAGCATTGGAGGGGAACTTCAATGATAAAGCAAATAACGAATCTGAAATGGAAAGCATGGCTGAAGTAACATTGTCTTGCACACCGACAAGAAAACAGCCCCCACATATCGATGTCACAATGCATTCTGAATTGACCCCAAAAATTGTTAGTACTCTGAATACGAAGAGCTCTCTTATATTTTCTGCGTCTTCAAGAACGATGGAGGTTGAGCATGTAACTCATGATGATCTAGAGGGCGGTGGTATTGAGGAGGAGAACTTTTATGAAAAATCATATTCCAATCCACTGGAGGAATTTAACTTAATTCGACCCACTCCGGCGAGTTTTGATGTTTTGGGATCCATGAGATGTCGATCCCCAGCACCTCCATCGACACCGTTAACCAAAATCGTTGTAGCTGCCGGTCGCACCCTTCCTTCCTTTTCACCCAACTTTGCAACAAAGCAACCACCGTTAAGTAGATCCAGATATGGAGGATTTTCTCTCTCTCTTCCAGGGAAGACGGAGTTATCTGCTGAAAGGGAGATTCAACTTTCGAGAAGTCTTTTGGCTGGATTCGACTCCTTCCTTCCTACATTTAATGGTGCTCTTAAATCAGTGAAAATTGATGAACTTCCTGTGGTAAGCATTTTTTTAACCATTTATTCTTTGAAAACTTTTCCTCTTAAGTGAGGCCGTAAACAATTTCAATGTGGCTTGAGTTAAAAAGAGTTTTTGTATGTCATTTAAAGTAATCTACTACACGGATCCAAAAACAAAGATAAAAGAAATGCTTTAGTTTTAAAGAACAGTTTTTTATTAAAAGTTTATCAATTTCCTTCTTGAGAATTGAGCACCTTGGAAATGTTTAGGCAATAAATACACGAGTGGCAAGCCTTTGAAGTAGAATTTTAACACCGATTTCGCGTTTTTTTTTGCTTAAGGTGGCTAGAAAACGCATGACGATAGAAGAATTCTCGAACGAATTGCTTCAAATCGATTTCGCCAGTGTCATAGACGCATCAGCCTTCGAAGAAGAACTAGCTCAAGTCATTCCAATGAAATTATGGGAAAGTGGAGAGGTAAGAATTGGCGAAAATGTTGATGAACTGATGGCGTTTGTACCCTCGCTTCAAACTTATTTTTTTCTAAAGTTGAATCCGATTTCGACGCGCTTTATTCGGCACTTCATTGAGGATGTAACAACAACCTACAACTTGATTGAATCTGGGTAAGCCTAACAATCCATTTTCTTGTGTTTATTTAAATTTATTAAAGCTAGATTATAAATAAATATATTGTTAATTAAATTGCAATAATTGTAAAATGTGATTTGGATTTACCGTGGGTGTACTAGGGCGATGTAGCTAAATTACTCATTCTCAATGATATTGAAGAACACCTTGTTAGAAAGTTCGTGACCGATGCAGGGTATTTAAGGGATGGCCTCTATTCTTTATAATTCTATTATTTCATTCAAAGTCTTATGGTAAAAATTGCCTTAAGTCAACATTCAGTGTGATGTTTCCTTTGAAACTGTATTCATAGCTATTTTCGTCGTTTTTTTCAATCGATTTGAGCATGTGCTTCGGTGTTGCTCCCCCCCCCTTCTCCCCCCACTCCACCTCTGCTTTTGAACGACTGCTTTTGGGACCTCATGGGCTGTGACGATTAATTGGCGCAGCCTTATACAGTTGAGCGTTTTGTTAAGTAACTTTATTTATTTATTCATTTCAAATGGCAGGCCTTTTTTATAGTTACCATTAGCCCCTTAGCTGATTTCGGGCTTCACTGTGGGGAGGAGCATCAGGGTGAGAAAAAGTGAAGAGGGTTGAATAGAAGAGTGTAAGAGACAGACACAAAGGTAGATAAAAGGGCAAGATGAGTACTGTGGAAGTGGTCGGATATGACATGCAGTGGGGTCATGATAGTTTGAAGTCAGACGCCAACTGTCGGTTTATAGAATTAATTGCCTTGTGAGTATAAATTGCCCAGGGTGCACCACGTGGAGGTAAGTCTATTGCACACCCCTGTGTCGCGAGTATAAAATCTCAAATATTCCTTTGTTCCCAATTATTATCTACATACTTGCAATGTTGGTCCGAATAATCAGGTTTCTTTGTTGAACTTCTCTTCTCTAGACGGACTGCGGAACTGCATTATCGAATGGGTCAATCGGCCAAAGTGTTACTAACTGGGGTTAGAATTCATTTCATATCTTACATACTTATTTTCCCATGTTACTACTTTTTCTCTCAACCCACTTTCTTCCAGACCACCAAATTCGGCCCGGTAGATTCCTGGACCAAATTTCTCACAGAATTCCATCAGCTTTCAATCGAACAAGCAAGTTGATCCACGCGAGTTCAGTTTACGGTTAAGTAGATCAGCTTATGTTAGTAATAATTAACTTTTCTATTTGCAGAAAACTCAGCGTATAAGTTCTTTAAGAGAGCATTTCTTTAATCATGTTTGTGACGTGGCTACAAAGCGAATGCTCTCCGAGTTGTCCGAACCTATTAATGTAAGTCCTGACCTCTGTTATCCTGATTCCCCCCCCCCCCCTCAAATCCCTATCACTTTAGAAAATGGAGATTGAAGTTCAGGAGTACTTGGCATCTCTTGAAAGAGATGTTCGAGCCAAACAAGCTGAAATGAAACGACTCCAAGAAGGTAAGTTGGTGTCTTGATCACTCCTCCTTAATTCTCACCATTTGCACAGAACTGAACGGTTGGACGGAACTCTTGGATGACGATGCTAGTTTCATTGGTAGGTACTTCTATAGAATATATAAAAGTGCACTTCGTTGTTTATCTTGTCAATGTTGCATTTCTAGTGTCTTCTAAGTTTTGCTACGATCGTAATATTTACTACTTACTAATAAAATATACCGTTTTTTTCAATTATCAAGATTTACACCTGGGCACTTGAGTGAATTCATGTCCGTGGTAACCAATGCTAGTGAATCTCTCCATAAATTTGGACTACTAGCACGAAATATCACTATTTATTGATACCAAACAGAAGGCTTCATGATAGTTATCATTTATTTATTTATTTTATATCAAATGGCAAGCGTTATGATAGTTATCATTAGCTCTTTAGTTGACTTCAGGCTTCACAGAGGGAAGGAAATCGAAGTGAAAAAAAGTCGAGAGGGGGGGGGGGACAGAAGAGTGCTTCAAAGACGAGAGTTGAAAAGGTAGAAATAGGGTGAGGTGAGTACTGTGAAGTAGTCGAATATGACATACAGTTGTGTCATGGTAGTTTGAAGTGAGAAGTCAACTGCCAGTTTATAGACCTTTTTGCCGTATGAGTATACGTTGCCCAGGCTACACCACGTGGAGGTAAGTCTATCGCGCATCCCCACGATCGTAATATTATTACGTAATAGGGAACTGCGCTATGGTTGTTTCAGTTTCCATTCTTTCCGTTTTGGTCGTTATTCCTCATGCATTATGAATTTGATTGGGTACTGCGTCTTGTGTTTGCCATTATCCTTATTACTCACGCGTCGCATTTTTCTATTGGTCAAACACTAACTCGGCTCCATTTCCCCACACTGCAAGCCAACTAGCGGTAGAGTGAGAGTCGGTGACCTTGACAAATCAATGCGAAATGGCTTGTCTGCGCGGGGCCCGAGTTCAGCATGCAGTAGGCCAATTGGGAGGCTAGTTTCTGGGATATATGTATCCATTGTTAGCAAATGGAAGACTCCGTGTTAGTTATCGTTAGCCCTTTAGTTGACCTCGGACTTTACGTATGGGGGGGGAGGGACATAAAAGCCCTCGTTCAATTTTGTCTTACATTTTACGAGCCTTTATTCCGCTGCACCCTCTATCTGACCACACTTTGTTAGTCCTATGTAAAGATTAATGGAATCCCTTGATAAAAGCACCGGTGGCATCCCTTTATAAATCATTCATATTGACAGCATTCTACTGGAGTCCCTGGTGAGAATCACGCACTATACTAGCCCGTGATCTGCACTACGACTGATGGGGGGATGCACACAGATGGTAACCGGTCCCCTTGAACCTTTACTTAATAAATTTGCACTTTGTTCCATGTGTCACTGGGGGATTTAGGCCCAAATTGTTCAATACCCAACTCAAACTCCATCTTTGAGCGCCTATTAAGGTTAACCAACGGATAATTCATCTTGGGGGTAGATAGTCCTTGGTTTGAATCCTCCAAAGATTACGGATGAAATTCCACAAATTTCTCATCAATCCTCCTCCCCCCCCCCCCCCCCCCCCCCCCCCCCCGCCCTCCCTCCCTTCCTTGGAAATAGGGTGTTTGATAGCGTTGGGGGTTCGCAAAATTTGCATTTAGAGGGCTTTCTATATACATATGTATATCGTTAAAGCCTTTCTTTTCCTGCTTCCATTTCTCTGTCATGACAATAGTCCTTTTGTGCTAAATCGACATAATTCGCTAGTTATTATTACTTGGGGGAAGCTCTTACAAGTTCCAATCCTGGAATGGGACTCGAAGAAGTGGAGGGGGGGGGGTGGGAAGAGGTCAAAATGAAACAGAGTAGGATGGAGAGGTAAAGACGTCAAGAGTTTTATCTCGTTTCATTTCTGAAAGCAACGAGCTTTCCATACTCATTTCTCGATTTGATCTCCTAGTCTCCGGTTTGCGCTTTTTGGTTTATTGTCTTTTGTTCCACCATATGCACAGGTAAGGGAAACTAGTTGTCATCTTAACCATAGCAATATTCACCTAAAGTGGAGGGAAATGTGATTGGGTAAGATTTTCAGGTTTGATAACTGTCTAAAGCTTCATTTGTGTTATTATTCACATGCTTTCTTTCACGTTTTTTTTGCCAACGTTTTCTCCTACCTTAGCCATTAGGAAGGCTCGTGAATGCACTGACTCTATCAAAGATGATATTTCCCAAGTTCTACGAGAACGCAATGAATTGCAACAGCAATCGGAAGTTTTGAAGCAAACGAACAGGAAGAGCCCATTTAACGGCTGTCCCCAACATCATCCGATCTCCTATTTTGCCGGCTTGGGCACTTCTCTCACTGCTTTCGGACCTCCTGTTCCTCAATCAAGGGTCTTGGAGGCTTGTCGAAGATTGCAAGTTTTGCAATACCCTCTTAATGCTTATACATTTTGCTTGGCAGGTTCAGCTTCTCCGAAGTTGCGTGTACATCAGTTGAGGAAAATTCCTATATAATTACAACTTTCTATGGGTTAATAACTTTTCGAGTTGATTGTGCTCCATCGAGTAACTCGTTATGGTCAGCTTCAAACTTAGAAATCACCAATTTAGATGTTGCGTTTCGAAGAAGTGAGAACCATTTTGACTCATCTGACTCCTGTTCTCTAGATCCCGCTCTAATGAAAACAACCAACTCTGTCGGTGAATACGCTTTCAGGCGAATGAAGGAAAATTGGCAGTTGGTTGCAGATAACCTTCTCGGACGAAAGTTTGAGGACGCGCTTGATGTAAGAGTCTGGTTCAGAAAAATTTGTTACATTACTCTTTCAGTTCTTTGAGTATGTTTTGCACTCCTACGCTCTACTGGCAACGTGCTTGCACGGCCTTTGTTCACTTGGAATTTTGATCACTCTGGAGACCTCTTGGCATTCGATTTCAATTCCCGACCTATACGAAACTAAGTCTAGGTGTGACCCATGGAGGCTCTCCAAGAATTTCTATGTCCTTGGAAAGGCTCTGTCGTTGGAAATTTCACGGGATTCGGAACCTTTCAGGTCAGTTACACGCTCTCAACAATGAAGCTTTACTTCATTTGCTTATATAACATTTCATTTTAACAAATTCTCAACGAAGAATGAAAGGATTATTGCTTGTTTTCAAACAGCCAAAGGTTTTGCCTCGCATAAACTCTAGATTCGTCTGTTTAGCATTTTACCTAGTGAATATAACTCTGTAATTTTTATGCTTTTTAAAATCTAGAAGCTTATATAGAGTGAAGGTTGGCTCTAAACGTCAATGGATGACAATCGGTCTCGTGACTTTCAACTAGACTACCGAGTATGATGGCACCAAAATTTGATTTACCGATTATATGTTGCTCGCCCTCGAGTTTTCCGTTCATGGCCCTAATCAAGTTGACATCATTTTTACTCTGCTCGGAAATCACTCGGATTTATATATGTATCAGCAATCGGAGTTCAAATTAATTTTTAATCTATGTCATAACGCTTTCAAGCATGTTATTGCTGTCTCTGTGTGTATGAATTCTCAATTGCAAAATGCCACCACTGGTGGCTTGTTGTTTAGCTTGGATTTGGCTGCCTTTAACTCATTCATTAAAGTACCTATTAGTCCCACTGAGTCGTATATACCTGCCTAATTGACTTAGTTCGTTTAAGGTAGACTATGAGAATTTCTGGGTTTACTTTTTTCTGTGTCCAAGAGACAATGCCGGCTTTAATCAGAATGGCCCAATTGGGCACGAAATGGAAGAAGATTCTAAATGAGCATGCATAACAGAATTCATTCGATTCACACAGATTGAGCGGATACGTTGCCCCCAAAAATTCAACCAATCTGCTAAAAACGGAGTTCAAAATCTACTCTCCTCATGATCTCTTTAAACCCGAGGCGTCTAAATCAATAGAAGTGAAGGATCTCTTTGGAAATTCAAGGTGAGCACCACTTCTGAGTTTGATTTGATAACCACCACCTCCTCTCTCTGTAGATTGGACCTACTTAAAAGCCCCACCATCTCCCCCAAGGATACTGTCGTCGACATTCACGAGAAACTCATATCAATAGCGAAGGCTTTGAAATGAACTCCCACTATCCGTTGTATAGTATGCATTCTTTACGTAGTCACCATTTAACTGTTTTATCATGTATGAATTCATCTCTGTGTTAGCTAAATAAACAGACATTTTAACACACACCTACCTTCTGCCTTGTGTTGTGATAAACGTTTCTAATACTTAGTGGTGACTCTGAGGTGTTTGAAGGAGAGGAGCTACCCGAAATGCCGAAACAACAGTCGTGTGGGTTTGACCAAATTTACATGAACAAATCGCTGAGGCCAAACTTCTAGAACCGGCCTTTGCAGGTTACTGAAAGGAAGAAGTTGAGAGATGAATTTTAAGGATAACGTATAATCAATTATGAATGAAGCTACCGCCAAAGAACCATGACACGAGGAAGTCCCCCCTAACCATGAACCATGATGGAATGGTCTAACAAGATGGAGTGGAGCCACGTTGAATTGGAGTGTATTTGGAGCGACGGAAGAAGATTGCCTTAGTTTTGCTGAGTTCCCTAGCCATACTTTATGCATCCATTCCTATGCTTCCGAAGCCTTAACCACCCAATTTTTACTTCTGAGGTGTTCAGCGAGATCACATCCATATGAGCTAAGAATTCGATTCTAATCATTGTCGATTATGCCAACCAGAGCATTCGAGAAAAACATCACAAATGGTTTCCAATACAATAACCTATTCATCTAATATAGAAGCTCTGATTGGCTAGACTAGCAGGTCTGTTGGTCAGTCCGTTAATTGATCCACACAGGATCATTGGGTGAACCGCCGCAATTCGTATTCCGCACACATCTTTGTTAGGATCCGGGGTGTGCGATAGACTTACCCCCACACGGTGCACCCTGGGCAACGTACTCATACGGCAAAAAAAGTCTATTGACCGGCAGTTGACTTCAAACTACATGACCCCACTGTATGCATATTTGACCACTTACACAGTACTACATCACACTTTTTCTAAATTTTCAACCTTCGTCTTTGAAACACTCTTCAGTTCCCCTCCTCTCGACTTTTTTCACTTTGATGTTCCTTCCCCTCTGTGAAGCCTGAAGTCAACTAAAGGGCTAATGATAAGCATCAAAACGCCTGCCATTTGGTATAAATCTTTGTTAGAAATCGAAACCAATAGAAATAGGGAAAGAGACCAATGTGAACAGGCAGGGTAAAAAAACCAACACATTTCCAGCACCATAGTCAAGGCATATAAGGCTCCAGCAAGAACTCGAACTTAAGGGTTTGAGAGAAACAAAGCTACTAGCCCCAAAATCAAGACCGCACAGAAAAATCGATAAGCCGGATACAAAGTAGACCCACTTCAAAAGTACACGCGAGTGTTAAAGCTTCTCCACTTCCATTTTATAAACGGTTACAAGCACAGCATAGTCAAGAAACCGCTTCCCAGCGTTGATTTACTGAATGTGTTGGAAAACTAGACGCTACCTGATGAAAAACTCCAATTGCAATACCGATTCAGAGTCCGACTGACCATGTACCAAATTTCAAATTAAAATCCATTCCAAAACGGCTCAGATTTCAAATAATAAACAGTGGAAAGGCGATCGGATTAACGGCGGTTTTTGATCACTACAAAAATTCAAATATTAGTAGTCTTAAAACAAATCAACTCGAAAGGAATTAACATGGCCAAATTCAAACTTAAGGCCCCATTTCATTTTAAAGTCAAAAAATGACAATCACACAGCAAATACCAAATTCAACCATTCAAAAGACCCACAAGCACAACAAAGGTAACCATCGACCTTTCCAATTGAAGACAATACATCAAAATCGGAAAAACCACCTTTAAGCCGAAGAGGGAAATATTGTTTACAAAATACACATCGTCCAATTTAACATAAAATACGTAAAGACATACAATTACAGGTACTATAAAGTCCCTTTTATAGAATAAGATACAATTAAACAAGCGGTTTGGGTTGAAGTGGCTTCTTGCCAATAAGAGACTTGTGAATGTGAGGAATCACACCACCTCCAGCGATCGTTGCCTTAATAAGCGTGTCTAATTCTTCATCACCACGAATAGCCAACTGCAAGTGACGAGGAGTGATACGTTTCACCTTTAAATCTTTACTTGCGTTGCCAGCCAGCTCCAATACTTCAGCAGTCAAATATTCCAAAATGGCTGCAGAGTACACGGCTGCAGTGGCACCTACACGGCCATGGCTTGTTGTACGAGTCTTTAAATGACGGTGAATACGACCAACGGGGAACTAATTGTAAATCATATCAATCGAAAACTATTTGGCAAACCTGTAAACCAGCCCTGTGGGAACGGGAAATAGCCTTGGCTTTAGCCTTTCCTGATTCTTTTCCTGCTTTTCCGGCCTATAACGAATAAATATTACTGGCGAATAGTGGACCTACCATTACAAGTATATAGTTGCGAAATTGAATTCAGTCAGAGCGCCTATGATTTTCTATGTGATATATTAAAAGCACTTTAGTCCTTATAAACAAATGGCTGAACTCACACCTCCAATAACATGAAAATTATTAATTAGATTTTTAAAAATTATTAAAGAAGAGGTAAACTATTTTACTGATGAATATTTTGTGCTGTTTACTATTATCACATATTTAATTTAAGTAAGGGTATTCCGTTAGATCAAAGCTGTTTCTGCTTAGATGGTTTCAATTATATTAACAAAGAAGTTTTAAATAATTTCTTTCTTTGAAAACAATTTTAATATTTATTGAATTCCAGTTGACGCGATGAACTTGAAACATGTTTCTTCTATGGACCGCTTTCGCCATATAATCGGAAATTGGACCCAATCAGCTTAATTACATCTCACTGCCCTTAAGTTATCGCAGTCTCATGTGGAAGCACTGGACTTTTCCGAAATGGACCTCAAAGTTGTCATTATCTTAGAAAACGGCCGCTGCTCCGTTTACTAAATAGCACACAATCAGGGTAACCGACCTCGAAAAAATAGCCTTTCGAAGTTTCACTTTATTATTAGTAACAATCTGTACAAACTAGGTGCTTATAAAATTCGTCTACTTTTCATCACCTTCCCCGAACGTAATGCTCGGATCGTCAAATCGATGCAGTGTGTGGTAGTAAATATCCTCAGCAAATTCGTCAAAAAGATTTTCACTCGCATATTGAGCCTCAGTCGACTCAGAGGGCAAACTGGAGGGAAACCAAGTGGGATTTGGTGGGGGATTTTCTTCCCTCTCATGGCGTCGATTGATCAACCAAGAGTCGTGAAGGAGACAATATGAGTGTACTGGGCCGGGCGTAGGGCCGGATAAGTAGACTAAATTCAGTCGCGGGTTCATTCGAAGAATCTGTGAAGATTAAATTAAAAAGTATTTAATTTTTCCAGAAATATTTAGGAGATGAAAGCAAAGGGAAAAAATTACCTGAAGACCTCGCGCCGAACGAAACCGATTCCCCATTACGCCATGCATTCTCTTACCCCGTAAAACTTTTCTCTAAAAACAATCAAGTACGAAGTTAACTATTAAGCAAAAAAATAGTTGCGTTCTTTATAACCAACAATAGTAGTAATACTTTGAGTATTGGATAAGTTATATAATTATTCACTTACAAGCACAACCCGCATATTTTCTTAATAACTTATCCATTTTAGGGCAATTATAGATGGATTTGCATATACAAGGCGTCCCGTATAATTTATAAAACATAGTTGTACTAAAATGCTGTTTAGTGGAGTGTATATGGGCCTCTCCATTAAGTATATAAAACCTCACATTTGAACGAAATTTGAAATAATATTAATTCTGCATAATAATCAAGGCAACTGCATGTACTTCAATGGCGAATCAAGACACTACATAGTCAACCACCATCCACATGCATGCACTAATCCGTATTTCAATTAATCAAATTAAAGTAGAGTAATCAATCAGTATTCATCAGCCGATCAGGACTAAAACATGAACAATCGAAATTAAAAAAAAACTTTAACCTTTCTCTGAGCTTGTGCTATCTGTCGACTAGCAGTATAAAATAACATGCAAAAAGGGAATTGGGTGACCCACCCCAACATTTATACCATTCAAAGGAATGCTCATTTAGTGGTTAAAAGAATGACATAAGCTATTATAAGTAGCAAGTGTCCATTAAAATCCTCACCGACTAATCGATATGTATCAACATAAACCTCCACAAAAGAGGTAAATCACAAAGAGATGACTTACACCTGCACCCGCAAGACTACCGATTCTTCGATGGAATTTGGTGCTGCCGTGGGCTGCAGGACCTCCACTCATGCCCCAGCGTTCGATTACGCCCTGGAAACCACGGTTTATTCTAACAACAAAAAACAAGCAGAATGGAAGAGAATGAAAAACAGCAAAATGAAGCATATATAAACGCAGTAAAAAATATGTTTGACCTACGTTCTTGCTGTTACGTCGATATAATCACCAACGCGAAAGTGATTAATCGTGAGGGGAGTGCCTATGACAAAATAATTTCAGAAAAAAAGATAAAAAATAGGAATAGATGAAATTATGGTACAAAAGGCCAAGCAAGGCCCCTTAAAGAGTTAAGGAAACATATTAAAATCACTAATATTATAACTTAATTAATTGGAAAAGCGATGAGACCAGATAATACCAACTGTGTTTGCTTTCAATAACCTAGTACCTTTTTACTCATCAACCTCCGAAAATGAATTCGAAAGATACCATGGAAGTCAGCGCTACTACTTCCCACAGACCGACATCTTCCAAATTACGGGAAGTTCATAGTATATCTAGTCGTCTCTCCTCTATTCAATGCGCACGTACGGCAACCATTAACCATCAGCTGCTCATCGATGAATAAAGGCCACAAATCGCCTAACTGTGCCCCCCATTCAATACCAAAATGGCTTTATAAAGGAGCATGACTGTCAAGATTAGAGCAACTCTACAAACTTCTGGTCATAAAAATTTAACTGAGAATATACTCGTCTTACCTGGATCAAGAGCAGCGTCAGGACTGACCATAAAGCGGGATATTCTACGTTTCGGAGGAATGCCCAAAGAGGTGAAAAGACCACACCACTCGGGGGTAAACTCAGCCGGGTCAGCCGACATCGCGCCAACCAACTGCAGACCCCAACGCCGCTGATTCACCCAGGAGGGCACGTGACGATTAGTCAACCAGTCTCCACGAGGGTCCTTCAGACTCAAATACTTATCCAAATCGGAGGGAGGGATGTAGCGCATGGCGTGGTTGTCCGGTATCTAAAGCGGGTACAAATCGTTTGAACCAAAATCAGACATTCTTTTTATTAAGACCCATTATAATAATTTCAATTCCCAAGCCCGTTAGGAAAGGGTTTACCATCTACATGGGCTAGAGACGATTGGAATATTTATTTATTCATATCAAATGGCATGCGTTTTGACAGCTATCATTAGCCCTTTAGTTAACTTCAGGCTTCACAGAGAGGAAGGAACATCAAAGTGAAAAAAAGTAGAGAGGGGGGGAGGGAACAGAAGAGTGTTTCAAAGACGAAGGTAGAAAAAAAGTGAGGTGAGTACTGAGAAAGTAGTCGAATATGACATACAGTGGGGTCATGATCGCTTGAAAAAAAAAGATACAATCAACGATTAAATAATTTTTACAAGCATCAAAATTAACTACCTGTATAATCGTACAATCAACCTTCTCGCCATTTTTAGTCCACATGGGATATATGCCCAACTTTAGGCCAATTAATCCACAGCGCTGGGTCTCCATCGGGAGCCAGGGACGATTGGC